AAGTTGTATTTACAAGTTCCAGTTTGTCAACAAAAGTGTGAACTGGGATAATGGTTTCTTAGCACATTACATGTATTAATAGTCTAGATATCACAACTGTCTGACATGTGACCAACATTAAACTGTCTTCAGGATAAAACAGAAATCCCAGTGGTTGCATCTTCCTTTGTAAATGGGACTTTTTATTAGTACTTCCTATTTGATGAAACTTCAAGGGTGCAGTTGTTCCTTTAGTGCAACAAAGATTTGCTTTAAATACACACTATGGGCTCATTCAGACCCATGATGTGGGATCTCTTGTGGTTTTACTGTAGGCGTCAAAACAATGCCTCCGGTAAAACCAAATTAATTAAACACCTGGTAAGATCCAGGTTTTACCAGGTATGGCTCCTGTGTGGATTGGGCTGGGGACCACATGACATGATCCGTAGGTCCAYTCCACACAGCTATCTCAGTTTTTTGGGGTCAAAACCAAGAGGGCACCCACCCRCTCCTCCCAAACCCCAAAATAACCACTAAAAATTAAGTTAAACGTACCTGGCTGCCATTACATTACTTCTTGCACCCTTCTGGCATGAGAAAATGACACATTAGGAGATGAGGGGAGGACCCCCCCCCTCCCCCCGGTCTCCTGTTGCGTCTCCTTTGTCGCAGGTTTAAGTCCTGTCTGGAAGTGTCCTAAATTTGCCATTAAGTTTCAAAATCTGTATTGTATAACACTTTTGGTATGCCAGTGAAAGAACAACTAAAATCCGTGCAAGTTTTCAAAGCCACCAGTTCTCTTCATTGAGCAAAAATATTACAAGATTCAGGGAGGCAAAACAGATTGCCTGGAAGGCAGGATGATGAGACATCCTGTTGAGACAGTATGGGAGGAAGCAATTGTCGTTTGTCAAAGGAGGAATTCTGTGAACAGGGCTTTTTGACATGGAGGATGGAGCAACAACAGACCTCCCACCCCACCCCACCCCCGTGGCCAGAATCAAGCACAACCTCTAGGATGCCAAAGATGGGAAATGCCTATATACCTCTATCTGTACTATTGTCTGTCCTGTCTGTATAATGGCATCGAATGTTTGCCCTATATGTGTTCTGTGATCTGCTGCTGAGTTCCCTTTGGAATGAGAAGGGCAGAATATAATTACTGTAAATAAATAAATAATTACTAAATATCAATCTCAGAATCAATACACATGGGAGCTGAATCCCAGTTCCACTGAACATTATCCAGCCTTGCTTTGACCCAAATAACATCACACTCACCAGTTTCACCTGTTTCAATCTGAACTCAAGCTGACCTTGAAAATCGCACTGATCTCCTATCCTGGGCGACCTCAGGACAAAAGGGCATTTATAGCATGTTCTCAAGTTCATGTATGAGATTATTTTAGGTCATTCAACCACAGTGGATATAGTTTTTATTTCTTCTCATCATGCATAAGACTACCAACAAAGAGCCTTCCTGGTTTTTCTGTCAGTCTTACCACTCATCTGCATTTTTTAAAAATTGTTCTCCCATTCCATCACATCCTCCCCTCCAACAGTGAGTGAGATCAAGAACTTTAAATGTCATGACCTAAACTAAATAATGAGGAGGCATGTATTTCTCCTGACAGGTTTGGGGGGGAATTCACCATGATTTATAGGAGTTGTATGTTCCTGGGATGTACAGTTCACCAGCAATCTAAGAGCACTCTGAACTTCACCAACAATGTACCTGGAACTAACTTGGCACACAGAACTGCCATGACCAACAAAACATACTGGAGGTCTTTGGAGGGATTTATAGGAATTGTAGTTCACCTACATCCAAAGTGCACTATTAACACAAACAATGGTGGATCTGGACCAAACTTGCCACGCATACCCAATATGCCTAATTGGAATACTGGTGGGTTTTGAGGGAAATTGACCTGGACAATTTGGAGTTGTAGATACGGTTTTATAATTCACCTGCAATCAAGGAGCACTCTCAGCTCCACCAAAGATGGAATTGGACCAAACTTGGCACACAAAGCCTCCATGACCAGCAAAAACTACTGGATGTCTTTGGAGAAAATTCACCTTGATTTGGGGGAGTTGTAGTTCACCTACATCCAGAAAGCACTGTGAATTGAAACACTGATGGATCTGGACCAAACATGGCACACATACTTGATATGTCAAAATTTGATTACTGGAGGGGTTTAAGGAGAACTGACCTTCCTTTCTGGGATCCGTAGTTCACCCACAACAAGAGAAACAGTTATGTGCATTGATAATGAATCTGGACCACACTTGGCACACAGAACCCCCATGACTAACTCAACTTACTGGTGCGGTTTGAGGGGACTGACTCACTATAGTGGGAGTTGTAGTTTACCCTACATCTAGAGAACACACTGACACCCAGACTTGCCCAACATAACAAACTTTAAGTACTGATTGAGGCATCACGATTGTAGCAGGAGAGGAACTGCATGTTATAAGGTTTCTAATCTTCACAAATGTGTTTGGAGGGGCTTGAGACCCACAGTATTGCTTCCCTGTCTCTAAAAATCCTGACTGCCAACTGCAGTTCACCCACAACCTTATGCATTTTGTACAATTAAAAAAAATTTTTTTTAGAAAACACGGGCAATGCCTGGCACCCAAGCTAGTATGTGTGTGTATTTTTGTGTGTATGTGTGTGCACACAAACACAGACACAACAGGGTTGAAGGGAATCATTTAACAGTAATCCAAAAATGGATGAAGTATGGACATTGTATATTATAACACAGTAGTCTGCAAGTCACCTGTTCTGCTTGCCACTAATGACACAAGCTTCCCATAAATGTTTTCTCATTATGGACATTACAAGGTGACTGAGACATAATTTACTATGCAAGCAAAGCCCACTGAAATCAATGAAGCTATGCAGAAATAGTGAATTGAGACCACAGATCTGCCACAGTAAAGCAGCACCAGTGATATACTTGAAGTGACAATAATGCAATTGCAAAGTGAACCAACTGAATGTAGACAATAATGGCCTCTTGCAAATCAGGCATGCCTTAATATTGGATGTATGTACGGCCAATAATTTACAAGCAACTGTGTCAAGTGAATTGTGTTTGGCTTCTCTACAGCACATAAAGGTTTTGGCAATTTGTAAAGATGAACTGTGCAGGCTAATCATGTGGTGCACAGCAATTCTGCCCCCTTCCAATTCCATATAGCTTGTTCACATAACTGAAAACTACATGAATTGCAAATGTCCAAAAATATAAATTTCAAAAGGAGCTCTGTTGAACAAGTACAAGGAAAAGCAATTGAGAATTCATCCGTTCAAATGAATGACTAAAAACCGATGTATGGATTTGGCTGGCAGTCAGGATTTTTAGAGACAAGGAGGGAATACTGTGGGTCTCAAGCCTCTCCAAACACATTTGTGAAGATTAGAAGCCTTATAACATGCACCTCCTCCCCCACCACTATTGTGATGTCTGTAAAAATGATATTCAAGCAGGATTACTTTCTTCCTTATTGCATCACTAGGCTGCTCCCAATCACCCAAAATTGGAGTAAAAGTGCAACTAAACTTTCACATGGTATATCACAGTTCAGTGTAAGTGGGAGATAACTTTTTCATTTAATAAAAAGAATATGTTTAAAAAACAGTATCTTACGGGACAACAGTTGAAAAGCGACATTATGCAGTAAGCTGCAAATGGAGCTATTATCATGCTCCACTTCCACTTTCCGTGCCTTGTGCAATGATTTCCTAGGTAATCCTATGAATCAGTATCTACCCTAGCAAATGTACATACATGACTCTAACCAGAATGAAAACAACTGAGTTCATCTGTGCATGATTGGAAGCAAGGTCAACATTTCCATTAGACTCATTGAGTCATGTGCTTCGGGCAGCAGTTGTTGCAGGGCAGCTGCAATCCAATAAATGTTATTTCCTGAGCTTTCTGGCCCTTCTATTTTGAGAAACACGTGACCTGTCTGATATTTCCTAAGTTAACCTGCTGCCCTCAGGTGCACTATGTGATAGAGAAGAGCAGGATTGCATTATCTGAATTTACATCCAAATGCCAGCCCGGCCAGCTCCTCTGTACCATCTTGCCCCAGGTACAAGTGGTTCTCAACCTGCAGCTCCCCAGGCGTTTTGGACTACAACTCCCAGAAATCCCAGCCAGTTTGCCAGCTATTAGAATTTCTGGGAGTTGAAGGCCAAAACATCTGGGGACTCACAGGCTGAGAATCACTGGCCTAGACCTTCATGAAAGCACTTTTGGTACACACACACACACACACACACGTACACAATTGTCATTTTGGACTGCAGGTTGTGCATGAGTTTAAATATTTCATGCTGGCTGGCTCCTGCAGGATTGTTTTCCAGGATGTAAAAGGAGACACCTTTTTTCTTAAAATATTATTACTATGACTAATCGCTAGGGAGTATCAGCATCCAGGATGCACAGAACACTTGAAAATAATCTGGCTGAATCTAGATCAGTCTCTCTCAACTTTTGGCCCTTCAAAGATTGGACTTCCCACTTTCAGAATCTGTAACCACTTCTCAAGCTAACTAGGATTATGAGAGCTAAAGTTTAAAACATATGTAGGGTTAACTGTGGAAAACCAGCCATCCAGATCAGGATGTAAAGTATGTGCCCCATTGACTGCATGTAATCTAGGGCAGATTTAGCCAAATAATCTGTTTAGCTCTGAAAAATGATTTCAAGTGAAACAATGGTGCTTTCAAGTGAAACAATGGCATGTGAGGCAATTTAGTGTGGCCCTCTGGGGCTCCAGAAGTGTGATATGGTCCTCTAAACCCTGGAACAAGCCTACTGATCTAGACCCTACTGTGCAAAGAATGAGTGCATTCAGGAAAAATGTCTTTGGACTTATCCTGATAGCAAAGTATCAAAACATAGTGACATAAAGGCCAGAAACCCAATCAGTGACGTAGCTCAAAGTATGCAGCTGACAAATGAACAAGCCAAAGAAGAGTCAATTGATTGGAGCTGGTGAAGAATTATTTCATTTAATTGTGAAAATCATACAGAAAATGACATACATTCTTCAGGTACATGCAGTACATTGTGGAATATGTTGGCAGCACTGGTATGATTTAATATTTTGACCCATGGATGCTTTATGTTGATGCAGTTTATCCTTGTATCTCAAAATGATTATTGGTTAGTTCCTTTTTAAGGAAATATTTTCAGTCTTTAAAAATACATGCAATTGTAGAGTTTAGAAGATCTTTCTTTTTATTTGGACTACAACTCCCAGGATCCCACAGCTAGCAGGCCACAGCCAGGATAGTTAATGATGGAACAGTGTCATCCATCACACTTCAGAGAGCAGTCTAGTATAGGGAGCCAAGAGATGCTTTTGTGACGGAACAGCTGCAGATTTAGCTGGAAGAAACAGCAGGAAGAATGCTAGTTTCTTTCCACTGATCTTTGCCATCTACAACCTACAACCATTTTGCCTAAATACTAGTTTGCCTATGTTAGGATGGTTGTCTGTTCACCTAATAGATAAATGGGAATTCAGAAAACTGTAATGTACTTTCAACTTAAGGAGTCCTTATCTTAAAGACTTTTGGGATTTTCTGTGGCTTTATGTCCATGTTGAATTTGTCAGTCAGTTTTTAAAGCCATGTGTATCTTCGTTTTAGATCTCTGCTTCTAGGAAACATCTGGCAATGTGTTTGACGAAGTGGTAGGCAAGGGGTACCCAAAGGAAGTAATTACCATCTATATAAATAAAAATGTAAATGTTCATTTGTTCAAAATCTCAAATCTCCCAAAGTTCTTCACTGATTGCGTTGAAATTTTGAAACAACGTAACATTCAAAAAGGCACAGGTTTTTGTGTTTTCACATACCTAGTATTACATAGATGTCACACCTATGACAGGTAAAAATAGACTTTTTTGAAAAACAGCACCATCTGTTGGACATCAAAGCAACACACACTAAACTACATATTTTACGATTCTGTTTCAATGTTTCTGAATGTATTGTTAAATTAAATTTTCATAGGTTGCAATTTAGTTTAATTTTTAAAAAATATTTTTATTATTTTATCATAGTTATTACATTTGTTATACATTTGTTTTATAGCAGTTACATATTATTCAATACATCTAACATACTTTGACATCTAGTATTATTATTCCGCTTAAACATATTTTCTATTCCTCACTGCTGTACTCCCCTCCCCCCATCTCAAGCCACAACTTTTACATGTCACCTGTCCAAAATCTCAATTCTTCTTGTGGCGGTAACTTTCCTTCTTTATTTTTTAATCCTTTTACAATAACTTTTCTCCATACATCATCAAAATCACTTTGTTTCCATATACCTCGTTTAACTTTTAATATACATGTCAGCTTATCATTTATTGCCAGTTTCCATACTTCCTTATACCACTCCTCTATTTGTATATTTATTTCTTTTTTCCAATTCCTTGCTATAAGCAGTCTTGCTATTGTTAATAAATTTGTTATCACGTCTTTATCCTCTTTTTTCAATTGATTATTGATATATATTGATAATAAAGCTATACTAGGACTACTCTCTATTTCAGTATTCATTATATCTTCTATTTCTCTAAATACCTTCCCCGAAAAATTATTTACATATTTACATTGCCACCACATATGTATATATATTCCTGGTTCTTGACACCCTCTCCAACAATTTTTTGAATAATTTTTATTTATGTGTGCTAATCTTACTGGTGTTAGATACCATTTCCATATTAACTTATAATAATTTTCTTCAACCCGTATTGATAAGTTTTTTAGATGTCTTTGTCTCCATAATTATTGCCATTAATTTCAATTTAAATATTTAGTGTGTCGTTTACCATAGCGTTCATATTGTGAGTGTAGTTTATTGTTGTCCTTCTTCACTCTGACACTGCTTGCTCTGCCCTGAAGAGAATGGGATTGCCCAAGGGCAGGCCTCGGGGGCATGCTTTCGCCTTCCCCCCTCAATGCTGCTTCTCTGCCTTAGTCTAAAGTTGTGCCCAAGGGAGAGGGAGCACGCCTTGGCCACTCACCCACTCAGCCAGACCTCTTTGGGCAGGTAAGGCAGGTCTCACTTCTTGGACTCTGTGTGTTTATTTGGCTGCATATTTGGCTGTTTGGACATTGCAAACAGAAAAGCAATGTCCAAAAAAAGCCACAACTGTTGTAGAAGTAGGAAAAATATACATGTTCATCATACCCCCTCTGTTGGGCTATCCTAACTTCAAAGCCCCCCTCCCTCTTAAAAAGCCCTTTCTATCAATCATTGTGTCATCCGATGGGGTCGGGCCTTCCTCCCTTCCTCCCTCCACCATTGCCACCCTTGCCCTCAGGAATGTCACGCTATGTTTATTATTTACTTCATTAGGGCTCCTTCTGGGTTATATGGCTGTAAGGAAGGGCCCTAAGTCCACAGGGCCAATCTTTAGAATTGTGCAGTTCAGATGTAGACACAGATTGCTTCTCACATGGACAATTATATGTTGTGTGTTCTAGAGCCAGCAAACCAGACAATCTCTATATCTGCACAGACAATGGAACAACAAAAAATATTGTATGCCCCAAGCATTGTGAAATTAAATATATTAGAAAGCTGCTCTTCCTCTTTTCTTTCTTTTCCATTTAACTAGACTGGCCCACAGCAACATGTGGCAAGGAACAGCTAGTTTATGATATAAAAGAGAAATAAGGGGAAGTTAGAATGGCACAAATATTCTGTGGAAAAAGAAGTTCCCAGAAAAGCTGTTGCATTGAGGATCTGATCTCTTGCAGGGAACAGTCATTAAATAAGCTAAATGAAGATCAGGTTTTTTTTTCTTCCAGAGAAGTTACACTGATTCATATGGCTTTATTCCTAACTAAAAACAACCATCATCAAATAATATATAAGGGAACAAATACTAATAACTGCTATCAGCAGACAGCATAGTTCACTGCAAGACAGAGATAGCCTGTCTTTTATTGGCCTTACCTTTTTGAATCCCACACCTGCTGAGAGCTCTGCTTGGATACACTACAAAAATAGCAGAGATAAGCTGGAATGCCCCAGGAGACAAAACGTACTCATCACCTTAGAGACTGCTCTCAAAGGTCTGTTTTTCTCAGCAAATGCTGGTTTCACTCCAAATGGCAAGGCTCTAACAGATTTCAGACCAACATGGAAATCTTGCCCAGCTGACAGAGATGGCACGTATTCAAATGCCTCATTCCTACCCGTCATTCATCATTCTTGACATAACTGTCTTGTTTTTAAGTCTTATTCTGAACTAACCTGCTTGCTCACTCTCCTTTGGCAGATGGTTAATTTTAAGCAACTGCCATTTCTGTTTCATGCATTAGGACAATGAAGCCAGGACCTCTGTGCCCTTTTATGACACTCAATGACAAATTATTTATTGGAAGAGTGGTCAAATTTTAATGTCATGCAATTGGTCTCCTTGTAACAGAATAATTTTTACAGAAAAAGCAAGATAGCTGAACACAATGTGACCACCATCAGTTTCCGAAGTTTAAAAACATTTTAAACTTAGACGCATTAATATTTTAAGAAATCTAACTGCTACTTCCCCTATATATCACTTGGTTTTCTCTGCAACTTTTGATACCACCACCTTTCTGATCTGCCAATTAGTAACAGCAGCAAAGAGCATAACTTTGCACTGGACCCTACTCCTTAATCCTGAGAAAGTTCTGAATGTGGTACTGGAATACTTCTGCTTCTGCTTTTCTCCATTGGTATTTATTTATTTACTTGTAGCTCTTTGGAGTACGTGTGTCCATTTTATCTATTGTTATTGTTATCATTTCTTTCCCACATCTCCTCAAAGCTCAAAGTTGGATGCAATATAATTCTCACCCATGTCTTCTCAAAACTCAAAGTTGGATGCAATATTATTAAAATACATAGACATAAAACCATTATAACACATATCACATGTTATTGTGATATTGGTCATGCACTTATTGAATTTTATGTGTTTGCACCTTGAGTGCTTTCGTGAGCTACCCCGAAACCCTCCGGGGAGATGGCGGTGAGGTAGAAATAAAGTTTTATTTTTCTTATTATATACTAAAAGACATAGACATAAGATTAAAACAAATTAAAATCATTGATATTAATATGCCAACTTAAAATTCATAGTTAAAAATTGACTTGATAGGTCTGCCAGAAGAGACAAGTCTTTAATTCTGTTTTAAATTCTGACAGCTCATTTAGCTGTTGAAGCTCTTCTGGCAGGTCATTCTACAGTTTAAGGGTGGCCAATAAAAGGGTCCTCTGGCTGACAGTTGCATCAGATTCTGGTTCGCTGAAGTAAACATTCTCCAGAGGACCTCAGTGTCCGGGGTAGATTGTATAGGAGAAGGCGATCCTGTAGGTAACTTGGACCCAAACCATGTAGGGCTTTAAATGTCAAAACAACACTTTGTAGTTTTTTTCTGGTACATTTACTTTTACATTTACCACTGGAGAATGTAATTTTGGTAACAGAATGCAGTACTACCAATATGTTATTGTATGGGGTAGCACCAATACTCTGAAGCAGCTGTATTTATTTTCACTTGCCCCACATGACATGGTGATGTTCCTGGATGGACCGAATGAGACTGAATAACCTTCCATTCTGGTGAGAGTGAATAAACTGAAGCTCAGTCCAGACAAAACAGATATGATGATGTGAAAGATCATTGACAACAGAGATGGAAACCAATTAGTTGCTCTATGAGCAGAATGTGGAGAAGTTCCTCAGCCAGAATAGCTGTTGACCATAGAATTCTGGGAGCTCTACAAACTTATTTCAATAAAGTAAATATCCCATGCTCTGATAACAAGGTCCCCCGGGGATGCTCTCTATGTGTTGAGCTCAATAACTAAATTTTTGGACACCTGAAAGCTGCCTTTCTCTTGCACCAAATTTAGCACCTTTCTGGTTTTCTCTTCCCACTTATCATATGTAAATTTAGATGTTCTCTATTGCTGCTGTTTTTGTTTACCTTCCTTAGATTTTACCTATGATGACCCTTCACTAAACATAGGATTTTGCTTGTCAAGATTTCTTTAGAGCAGTGGTTCTTTGGCCTTCAACTTTAAGAAATCCTAAAGCTGGTAAACTATAAGCCAAAACACTTGGGAACCCACAGGTTGAGAACCACTGCTTTAGAAGAAACTTGCCTTCTTCTTAGGCTGAAAAGCCATTCAGCGAGTTCTAGAGTTGAGTATTCAAACTCTGGACTTCCAGTCATAGCCCAACACTGAAGCTACTAAATAACAGTGCCTCTTCCCTAAATGCTCTCATAACCCTAAATTATATTAAGAGGTTAACCCAATTAACTTGATATATTTTCTTATGAAGTATAGAGCACAATGTTTCAGTTTATTCAT